TATCTAATAATTTGATGCTCCTCAATTACTTATGTGGGAGCTACCTTAAAAAGGTTTTTTTTATGAATATGGGCCCTGATCAAAACCCTATAAAATAGAGTAATAGGCACCTGGTTGATAAAATTGGCTAACGAGCATTCCCTACGAGAGCACTTTTTCTTAATATGGAAAGTGTAGTGATAGCTACATGTAGTTTAACAGAGTCTGCAAATACAGACTAGCATGTATAACTAAATATAGAATGACCTGCAACCCATGACTCATGCCAGGTCATGTTATGAAACAATGAGTACTTGTACAGAGATGCTACAAAGATGTCTGACTGACATAGAGCCTCAATAAAGCTATACAACTTATTAGTTCAATCAAAGCTCTCCAACTGGTCTTTTATAAGAACATAATATGGTGTCAGAACTAGGCAGCCAGTGTTTGTGCTGAGCAATCCAGCCTACAGTATATATATGGAGGAATCATTGAAATCAGGCCAGTTCAATCCAATTCTTAGTGATGTGAGAGATGATGAAAGCTCGAGGGCTTAGAGTCTAAGTGTATGTCCAGTGAATGTAGTTATGTCCATAATGGTTAGCGCTGTCGTTGTATGGATTGGAGTGCATAGTTTTGTGCCGGGCCAGTTCCAGTATAACGGGCAGTAAGCGTGACATATGTGGGACATGAACATACAGAATAACTCAGTGAAAGTTAATAGTTGAGCTTAAAGTAATTGTTGCAAAGATACAAAAAGAAAATGCTAATTGTTATGCTGTTCATGTGAGTGACTACACTAGGCTAAGAAACAAAAAGAAACAAAATGGCAAATCTCAGTCAACCTCCTCCACTCGACTTAAAGGGAAATATTTCCGAGAACTGGAGAAGATTTAAACAGAAATTCACTCTATACAATGTTGCCTCAGGAATGTCTGAAAAAGATGAAAAGTTACAAACATCAATGCTTCTACACGTGATTGGCGATGCTGCCTTGGAATTGTATAATACGTTCGTATTTGCTGAGGGTGAGAGCATGAAGCTTGAGAAAGTGTTGAACAAATATGAGGAATATTGCATGCCGAAACGTAATCTAACGTATGAGAGACATAGATTTTTCACAAGATCTCAGTTAGTGCATGAGAGTGTTGATCAGTACGCAACAGAATTGCGGAGTCGTGCTCAGTCATGTGAGTTTTCCATGTTGAAAGAGAGTCTTATCCAGGACAGAATTATCTGTGGTATTTTAGACGATGGTCTAAGAGAACGTTTGTTGAGGCAAGATGATCTTACATTGGTTAAAACGTTGCAAGTATGTCGTGCGGCTGAACAAACTCGAACGCAGGCACAAGCGTTGAGTTCCGCAGGGGAAAACGCCTCAATTCCGGTAGATTCTTTCAGCAAGACTAAGAAGAAATTTCCTGGTTCAAAGTCAAAACGGTCAGAACCTCAAGGTCGTACTAAAAGTGATGCATGTAGCAGGTGCGGAAACCGACATAGCAAAGACAAATGTCCCGCACAAGGTCAAACATGCAAGAAGTGCGGTAAGCAGAATCATTTTGCTAAATGTTGTAAAACCCCAGTAGCCAAGGTCAATGAACTGCAGCACTTGGAGGTAGATTCAGAAGGTTTCATGATTTGCTCTGTTGAATCAAAAGAATCCAAGGATGAATGGATAGTTAATCTACTAGTCAATAACCAGCCGGTTGACTTCAAGGTTGATACTGGTGCTCAGGCGAATCTTCTTCCTGAGACAGTATTTCACAAATTGAAACCAAAACCAAAGCTACAAAAGGCCAAAGTGATGTTGACAGGTTATTATGAGACAGATATTCCGGTCAAAGGTCGTTGTTGTGTACAAGTTGAGTACAAAGGGATCAAACGCAATGTGCCGTGTCTAGTCATTCCTGGAAATCGTCAGCCTTTGTTAGGATTACGGACGAGTGAAGACTTGCATCTGGTGAAACGGGTGTATCATGTTGAGAAACAAACTGAACACGGAACGGGTAAAAGTGTAGTTCAAGACTATCAAGATGTGTTTGTAGGTCTAGGTTGTCTTCCTGGTAAACACCACATCACATTGAGAGAGGACGCACATCCTGTTCAGCATGCATGTCGCAAAGTTCCATTTCCACTTCAAGATAAACTCAAAGACGAGTTAGATAAGATGGAACGAATGGACGTAATCACACGAGTTGATGAGCCAACTGATTGGGTTTCTTCTCTCGTGGTGGTGATGAAAAAGAACGGTCAGCTTAGGGTCTGTCTAGATCCAAGAGACCTGAACCGAGCAATCAAAAGAGAACATTATCAATTGCCATCAAGAGCTGAAATAACTGCACATTTTGCAGGAGCCAAATACTTCAGCAAGTTAGATGCATCTAGTGGTTTTTGGCAGATCCAACTAGATGACGAAAGCTCCAAACTTTGTACGTTTATCACGCCATACGGAAGGTACAAGTTCTTGAGACTACCTTTTGGTATTTGTAGTGCTCCGGAAGTCTATCACAAGATAGTGCACCAACTGTTTGCACATATTCCGGGAGTTAACACAATGATGGATGATGTGATTGTATGGGGAACTACCCAACAGGAGCATGATGACAGGTTGAGAGAGGTTCTCAGCATTGTGAGAAAAATGAATCTCAAGTTGAACAAAGACAAATGCGAGTTCAATGTCAAGAAGCTCACATTCATTGGTGACTTGATCAGTGATCAAGGAGTTCAACCTGATCCAAAGAAAGTGTCTGCTATCTTGAACATTGAGAGACCGAAATGTCGGAAAGATGTCCAACGGTTCTTGGGTATGATCAATTACCAAGGGAAGTTCATTCCAGATCTGTCGACCAAGTCAGCAGCGCTGAGACATCTACTAGACAAAAAGAATGTATGGACATGGGATCATGCACAAGAGGATGCATGGAATCAGCTGAAACAAGCTCTGATACAAGAGCCAGTCCTACATTTCTATGACAGCAAGAAACCAACCAAGCTGTCAGCAGACGCATCAAAGGATGGTATTGGTGCAGTGCTACTACAGCAATATGATCAAGATTGGGTTCCGATCGCATATGCATCTAGATCAATGACTGATGCAGAGACTAGATATGCACAGATCGAGAAAGAATTGCTGGCAATCACATACGCATGTGAAAGATTCCATCAATACATCTATGGACAACAAGTAGAATTGGAGACTGATCACAAGCCACTTATTCCACTGTTTGTAAAGTCACTGGGTGACTGTCCCCTACGCATTCAAAGGTTACTCATCAGGGTACAGAGATATGATCTCAAGGTCTTGTACACGCCTGGAAAGTACATGTATACTGCTGATACATTGTCCAGAGCAGTAGATCCAAAGGCTGAGTTGAATGCTGAAACTGAGGAGGATATCAGAGTCTACATAGATGCTATTGTCAAGAGCATGCCAGTTACATCGAACAAACGAAATCAGATTGTCGAAGAGACAAAGAAAGATGATCAACTGCAAGAGCTGCTAGGCATCATCAGAGATGGTTGGCCGGAAACGAAGCAGCAATGTCCAGTTCGAGTCAGGGAATACTGGAACATCAGGAGTGAACTCTCTGAAGCAGATGGCATCATCTTCAAAGGCAGCAAAATAGTGGTTCCCACTACGATGAGAAGGTTCATGCTAAACAAAATCCATGAAGGACACTTAGGCATCGAGAAGTGTAAGAAACGTGCTAGAGAAGTCATCTATTGGCCCAGAATCAACACAGACATCACTGAAATGGTCCAAAGTTGTACTTCATGCCTAATGTCCAGACCAAAACAGGTCAATACTCGATCAGTGAGGGGAACAAAGGAGGATCATAAGGTGAAGCAAAAAGAGCGATTCGACAAACATTCTCGAGACTTGTCAAAGCTAAAGCCTGGAGATCATGTCATACTCAAGACATGAAAACCAACACCTGGTCGAAACGTGGTATTGTCAGGTCTGTCCAGGATCGAAACAGATCATACCAGATCGAGACAGAAACAGGAGAGATGCGTCGCAGAAACAGACGTCACCTCAGGCCAGTCCCACGTCAACAACAAGCCGAGTCTATTCCACTACCAACACAGGATGACTTCGAGCTAGATGACACTGCAGAAGCTACAGAGCAACCAGCATCTGAAGAAAGCTCAACTACGCCATCAACCAGAACCAGAAGCGGACGAGTTATTAAACCGCCAGATCGCTTGAACTTGTAAATAAATGAAAGCGAACTACAGAGAAAGACTTTCGCGTTTTGTAAATAGTTTATAGTTACAGAGTTCAACTTGGACTTTAAAACATAACTGCAGGATTGCATGAGCATGACATATATATTTGCATGTTATAGTTAAAAATATAACCGGATTTAATCAGTCACTTTGATTACAAAAATCAACAGATATCACTCAACCTCAACGGAGAATTCCAGTTTCGCGAATCGCAATCTTGAAAGATATGGACTGTCGCGTAATAAGTTATATATTTGAAAGCGACAGTACTCCAGCTTTAAGGGACAGAATAATGCCCTAGTACAGTCGCGAGTGTACAGGTAGTCCACCCTGTCACTCTGTACAGTTTAAGAAGTTTTATATATGTATATGTAAACCTCTTTTAAAGAAGGGAGGTGTAGTGATAGCTACATGTAGTTTAACAGAGTCTGCAAATACAGACTAGCATGTATAACTAAATATAGAATGACCTGCAACCCATGACTCATGCCAGGTCATGTTATGAAACAATGAGTACTTGTACAGAGATGCTACAAAGATGTCTGACTGACATAGAGCCTCAATAAAGCTATACAACTTATTAGTTCAATCAAAGCTCTCCAACTGGTCTTTTATAAGAACATAATAGAAAGGGTACTGCCGGGCACAACTATTTAGAGGTTCTCGCCAGAAAAAATGAAAAAGTGCTCATGGAAATCCCCAAACGATATTGCTATTGTGAGAGCCTCAGGATTTACTGTTTGAAAAATTATTTTTCTTACAGAGTACAAAGGGATAATCTAACTTACTTGAAGACGAGTGTTGTGCAGTCTATTTTATCCGTGATTGCCATCGGTATGTCTGATTTGTCGGCGGTAGCTGAGTTGTTATCATCAATCCAAATAACATCATCATCGAAAGACCTTTGGCCATCTAGGAATTAATAAAAGGTAAACTTTGACATTATTAAAAAAACACTAGCTAAGATATTGTATTGCTCAAAGTAGTTAAAGCAAGCAGATAATATAACGTAGCATTATCACAGAAAGCACAACATAAGTTATTACATACATCTCATAAAATGCAATTAGATCGAATACAACTACTCATTATTAAGAAGATGATATTTGTGCAGTTTTTATGGAGCAAATATCAACTTCGGTTTCTCTTTTATGGGAGGCTTGTTTTTACCACATCAGCTTCCCACCACCAACACCGATTCAACGGATCTATAATACATGTATGTATTGTGTTCCTGGCGGTGAGGAAAATACCGGCTGAGCGTCCATCAAATGTTTGGCTCATTACGACACTGACTGTATTCCATATCAATTAGTAGGTAAACCCACATTCTTACACACACACACACACACACACGTACCACACACACAACCACACACGCACACCCACACATATTCCAATATTATTCGTCGGATCAATGGAAAGAAAAAAATAGGCAAAATACGAAGAGAAAGAAGACGAACATAATCAAAGAATAGCACTTTATAAGTTCTATAACTAAAGCAATAATGAACATTTGACAAATTATGTAAATTTTGTGGTTGTATTATGTATCATAGTATACAATATGGGGTGTCGAAACTGCACATATACAATAGAAAGTGTATTTTTTCTAGTGGGAAATTCAATGAGGCATATAAACCTGTGCCCATAAATATTATTTCTGTAACCTTTTTCTATGTCTTTGAAATGATTGTCACAATAATGATTTATTTCTGATAGGTGAATAGTTAATAACAAGTCAGAACAAGGATGCAGTGATAAAGTACAGAGCGGGAAAGTAGCAAGGAGGTAAATAGGCGTAAAGAATGCGATTATAAGATAACATAAAGTAAAACCGATCAGGATAAGAAAGAAATAGAGAGAGAGAGAGAGAGAGAGAGAGAGAACGGGGGAATGAGAAAAATAAATTCGAAATATTGGAGTTAACAGATATGGAACGTGAAGAAGAGGAGAAGAGAAAAGGCGAGGGGTTGTAAAAGGATGGGGGAAACGGGATCTAGAAAGAGTGGGGGGGGGGGGGTAGAGAGGGCTGGAGGGGAAGGTAGTAGATGTAGTTAAGGAAATGGGGAGAACATGGAATAAAATACCTGACATACCAGATAGGTGAGAGAAAGGAGAAAGAGAGAGAGAGAGAGAAATAATAGGGGGAAATGGGAAAAGAGGTGATCGAGAATTGGAATGGATCGAAGGAAAAATGGTACGCAAGGGAGGGCTGAGTGGGAGAGGGTGATAACATGGAATGTAGAGTGGGGACAGAGCACAGAGAGTGGAAGGGGCGAGGGGAGAAGGGCCGGAATACGGAGAAGAGATAGAAAAAGAGGCGAAGGTTGGAGCAGAGGAAATAAAGGGCAGATGAAGAGGAAAAGGAGAGAAGGAGGGGGAATAGGTTTTGAGAGAGATATGCGAGTATGAGGGTAAGTTAGGAAAACATGGGGGACCAGAGTGGGGCGACGGGCGGGGACGAAGTAAAGAATGAGAAATAGGGAAAGAATGATCATTTAAATTATACTATGAATTAACAAAATTATAAATAGAGGATCAAGGAAAGTTTTCAGAGTTGTTTGTTTATCTCTTGTTTTGTATAATACTTATCCTATTCAACATTTGTTTTAAGAAGCAGAATAATCGAGTCTCTTTTTTCCAACAATTCGTCCCTGTTTTCACGAAGTGACGGTAGTGAATGAAAATCGTATACACTTTGCGTGCGGATTTTCCTCACTATCGCCACTTCGTGAAAACAGGAACGAATTATTGATACTGAAGTTTGATCTTGTTTAAAGAAAACGAATATGATAGAGATAATGAGATTTTAGAGCCCCTGTACAAAGTTTTTTTCTGTTATACAATAAACATAACAAGTCAGTTTTTGTTTACTGTTTTGATATTCAACATATTCAAATCAAATCGTCATTGTTCGTATTCATATTCTGTTATAAGAGGTGTATTCACATATACATCTAATATTGAAGGAGCAATTTTAAGCAGTCCTTTTCCTCATATTTTCTCTGTTTTTACCCTTTTCCTTCATTTTGCCCAACAAATTCTACTCGTTCCCTCGTGCCCCCGTCCTTAACGCCCGTATCAACGCCATTGTGATATTGCCTGTGTACAAAGTAATTAACAGCGGGCTGAGCCGAGACCTATGAGGGACCCAACAGGGTATTTGAAAACATCGGAAACAGTATCATCAATGTTTATCTTTTGATGTATATCTGCCAAATATGATTTTATCCATCTTATAGGAACATCACCAATGCTAATGGAATTATTTAACGTTTACAATTCTGAGAGTGATCTATGGTATCAAATGCACGACTTAAATCTAAAAGTAGTAAGATAGTAGTAACTTTTTGATGATCCATGGGCATATTTCATTCACTTATTGTAAATAATTGTATTTCAACAGTCAAAATTGACATTAGTTGTTGCTAGAAAGGTCCAAACACCATGGCTTGCCTTACCTAATTACATGTAATGTAAGCTGTTTGCATTCTGACTATTGAAATACAATTATTTATCACAGCAGCAAGGGTCGTAAATAAACCAACAGCATAACAATCTGAAAAACAATTGTTTGCAATCTACCACCTTTGTACTTCCAATTAATGAAATTACATAACAAATATCATACACTTTCAGGAAATGCTGGAAGCTAAAATTTAATTATCATGACAAATATAGCTTTATTTCGCTCTAACTGGAAACACACTTATCGACCCTTTTTTGTATGAAAGGGGTTTTATTTGTCATATCATGGCATATCCAATTTCTCCTTCAATCAATGTGATTGATGGGGTGGCACAGGTTATGAGGATAATTGGACGTAGATGGTTTGGACATGGAGGAATGCCAATGCCTCCATTTCCTATAACATCCCAGAGTACTGAAGAAGTACTTATCAATTGCACTCAGCACTCCAAATCCTTTGAACTTTCTGCGCTACCAAATGTCCAATCACTTTTGTTTAGTTAGTATACCGAGATACTGGCCAAAATTAGAGGGAAACAAATATGTACAAAAAAGCACCATTTCGGTTGAAATTGTTTATGTCAAACACTAAATAACTCAATAGAATTGTTATCAACTTGAAGGTATTTTAATTATCCATCTCTTGACACCAAATCCATGGTGAGTAGAGGTTTTGCTTTAAAATATATCTTTATCTCTGTTTTTGTACATGGGCAAATAGTTTTAAAAAAATGCATTTCTCCGATTTTGATATAGCCTATGTAAAATAATTTTTTTTTTGATAAAATTTAATGTTTCGAAAAAATTACCCCCAAAATATTATGTTTTTTACCTAATATTTTAATGTTAATTAATGCCAATTCCATTGAAATATGTATCAAAATGAAGATAATTCAATTTTCGTCCATATGACACCACATTCATGGTGGTTCAAGGTTTCCTCAATTTATTATTAACATACTATTTGTCGTCAAAAGGACCGCTTATGCCTAGGTCACATATAAACCGGGCTCCGTACGATTTTCCCTATCCGGCGGCTTGCCGTGGATTTAGAGACCGTACGGGAACCGTCCGATTTTCATTTGTACGGCATGTGTGGTCACATATTCTGCGGCGCCCGGGAGGTGCCCGGAGAAAATTGGTCAAGTGAAATACAAGGCGCCCGTAAAGGTGCTGACTGGGTGCCGGCCGAGTGCCTGCCGGTAAACTTACGGGCTCCGTCCGATGAGTAGGTGTACTGATGGCTCCCGGAAGGTGCCCTTCCGGTGCCCGGCCGGGGTCTTCAAGGCGCCCGGCCGGGTGCCGTGCGGTTCACTGAACTACAGACTGAGTCAGAAAAAATGTCCCACTTTTTAAAAGTTGTATTGTTTGAAGTATGAATATTTAATCATGGGTTTCAAGATACATCTTGATAGAGTTATCCTCCCAGTACATTCAGGTACCATTTTTATTTGAATCTCTGAATATCAGACAATCTTTACTAGACTAGCTGCCAGATCGCACTTGCGCCAAGTTACTGGGTGAGGAATAAAACAGTGCATTGAACAAAGACAGTCAGACACGCGCAAACGCACACACACCCACACTCACACACCACCACACACACACTCACACACAACACACACGATGACAATTGTTTCATAATTACCCCTTTTCTGATTGAGCATTGATTTTTATCAAAATCGCTGAATGTTTAAGTGGCATAACCCTAAAAATCTTTCCCTTTTGTACACATTCACTACCACCATCATGTCATCATCATCATCATCATCATTTCCATCATCTTAATCTTCATCATCATCATCATCATCATCATCATTCTTATCATCATCATCATCATCATCATCATCATCATCATCATTATCATGAAGCAGAACATCCGCCAATACGCACCAATAGGACATCGGCCACTCAACTGTTCGTACGATAAGAAGAATTCCCGACAAAAAGTAACAGTTTGGGTGGGCCTTGTCGGGAATGGAATGCTCATTTGTGTGCGTGTGCATGTGCATGTGCGTGTGTGTGCGTGCGTGTGTGTGCGTGTGTTTGTGTGTTTTTGTCTGTCTGGCTGATCGGATAATTGAAAAAAACTGGCTGTCTTTGTTCAAAACATTATTTTATTCCTCACCTAGCAACTTGGCGCAAGTGACACCTGGCAGTCTTGTAAAAATTGTTTGATGTTCAGTAATGCATGCAGAGATTTAAATGAAAATGGTACCTTAATGTACTGGGAGGATAAATCTATTAAGACATATCATGAAACTCATGATTAAATATTCATACTTTCATATTCAAACAATACATCTTTTAAAAAGTGGGACATTTTTTCTGACTCACTATGTATGTGTCCTCTGGTATCCGCACCTGCTGTATTTAAGACTGCGTTGTACATTTCAAGATGCCGCCGTGAGGGACCCACACGGGCAATATTTATTTTAAATGGCCCCCGGACGGCAGACGCCTGTTGTTGTGCATATCACCCGGGGCTCTTGGGGGGGGGGGGGGCGCGAGGGCACCGTAGGGTACACGTACGGAACACTTGAGCACCGCAAGGCGCCCGTAAAGATTTTTCATGAGAATTGACCCCCAAAATCGTGAGGGGCCGTCCCGGCACCGTCCGGAGACCGCATGGGACTAGTAAGGTGCCCTACGGGCCTTTTACGGGCTTTGTACGGCCTAACGGTCAGATGAAAACGCCGGGAGAATTGAGAGCAGCCAATTCAGCACCACGGCGCCCGTACGGCTTAAAAAACTGTCCCGCCGCCCGTAGGAACTTTACGGCAACCGGCTGGACACCGGCGAAAATTCCCAAAATGTCTGTTTTTACTCGCCGTACGGGCCCCGGAGTATATATGTGAAAGCCCCATTATCGGGACGCCCCCTCCGATTTAGGGGTGTTCACTACAATGAAAAAAACAACATTATGTTATGTTATGTTAAGATCTTTAGAATAAATGAGGTTTGCTTAGTTTGTGTGGTTGTGACAGGAAACTTACAAACTAAGGATGATATTTGACGTTGGCCCTTGAACAGAGTAAGATTTCACAAAATTGTTTATTATATGCAATTTTACTCATAGTAATATAATTTTTTTAATTTAGATTAAAGATAAAGATCAGTTCTGGTCATGCGATTGCATTGTGAAAGAAACGTTGTGGAATCGATCAGAAGAGGTTGATCATCTAGCATATAAGTATAGGTGTGTACTGCAAGGTTCTGGAATCATCAAAATGATAAGAAACTCGGCCCAGTCTTCGTAAAGTTGCAAGCACTTTACACAGAAAGATGTATATGGGACCACTCACACGTGCGCGCACGTGCGTATTATATATCACGTCCAAATAGATTTCAACTAATTTCAAATATATCAATAAGAAGGCGGTTTCTCGGCAAAATTTGTATCATCACGTATTAGTCGAAACATATTTTTTCACATGATTAGTAATAAGAGCTACCGTTTCATTTTTTGAGAGGGGTGCATTTCAAAAACTGGTTTTTATCTTTAAGTATTTTGGTACTTGCATCTCAATATTCATCGAATTGTTTGTGTTATTGTGCTGCGGGGTCACAATTTATTCGAACGGGTAAATTGAGTACAAGGCTTTAGTACTTTTTTGAGATATATTCACTTGACCGTGTTCATAGCGTAAATGCATTTCATATTTCTTTGAACGTGAGCAAGCCTTGTGCTTTTTCGGAAAGTAGCGTTTCATCTTTTTTTCTGCCAATTTGTGTATCAGTGACTGTTTAATGTGTCATTTATGTTGTTGGATGATAATAAATAAAGTTGAAATAAAATTGAATTAATCACTAATAGGCGACAATGCAAATGATAGGAATGCAAAATACGAATGATTGGAATGCAGTGACGAGGGCGTCAAGGCAATACATTTTCAGAACGCAGGTGAGGACAAGGCATTGAACATATGAAGGCTACAAAGGAATAAGAATAAATGAATTAAGAATGATCGTCTTTGCATGACAAGGGACATATCATTAAGCATGTTGATCATGAACAAAAATATCTTTTGCACTAAATGAGAGTAACGTCTGTGTATATTTAGATTTACTTCGTTTCAGTTTCGACTAATGTGCTTTTCCACATACATCAGTCACCTTATTAAAGAGAGCTGGACATGATGGTTTACGTTTCATCCCCCTCCCATGCACAAAACATCCAAAGAGATGTACTTACGAATTTGAGCAGATAGCTCTTTCAAGGCAGCTTCGTTGCTCCAGTCATGCCATCCACGGTTGTCTACTATAATCAGGTTGTCCGTCAATTTGACCGGCTCTCGCGTCATTGTATGTCCACCCATTGATTGTGAATTTGCAGTCGGTATGTAGCTATTCACCTTCTTTTGCTTTAAATGCTTCGTTGTATTTACGTAATTTATCAACGAGTTGATAAAGGACGACTTCCCTGCACCAGGAGATCCGACAAGCATACAGCAAAATGTAGTGTTCTCCATGATTATGAGATGATGAGGTTACAAGACCCCTACTCCTTGTCCGATCCTATCTTTAGTTGAAACGCGGCCCTATTACAAAGATTTTTTTGACGAAGTGAATACTATACGCGTTACACAAACTTATAAAAATGCGAACATCAGAACGGTGACTCCATGATCATAACGATATGCTTTTAAAATAGCTTCAAGTCACGCCTACGAAGTCATAATTTGCATACACAAAATTACTTTGACCCGCCCCTTTCCTAGGACTTCCCACATCTATTTGACGATATAATATGTCGCAGTGATCTGACGTGGTTGAGCTTCATTTTACGTCGTACAATGGCTGGAAAAAGCACGGTTGCAGTTTGTTCTTTAGCCCGATCTGACACCGAGTTTAAATCCTTAATATCGGTTTTGGAAGAACAGTGTACAGTATGCGTAAAGTACGTACAAATAACAAGTAAAATATTGGAAAGTGGACACGATTTCTCTCAATATGATGGTGTGATATTGATTCATTCAGTCCACCGGGGCAGAATGTCCCTAACAGACGTAAGAGATGCACGCTATGAAAAACTTCTCCTTCACTGGAAGAGTCTCCTCGGTAAGTACCCCACGATTAATCACGATGTTTTTTGAGCAAGGCAGTCATGGAAGTAGGTTTTTTATAGACTTTACGACATAGACCTAATGTGACGGGAGAGACGGTGAAGGTGTTCTTTTAGATTAAAGGAAACAAGAAGAAAGATATTGTTGTATTTACTTTCATCGATATAGGTTGACTTTATGAACCCAGTAAATATAAACTCAGATAATATGATATGATATAATACAAATTTATTTTAACAATTTGTTTTGGTAATAATAATACACTGTCGCTCATAAAGGTGGAATATTTTTTTTAATCCCAATTTATGGAATTATTTTAAAAATTATTTAAAAATAATAGATCTAGATAATAGTATACATTCTCAGATTTCATTGAATAATAATTTGCCAATGTGTGTTTTGCGTGACTGCTGAAGCATGTGTATGCTACTATGCGTATCTACTAAGGGACCTATGCCCTTAAGTAATAAATGACAGTAATGAGGATTAATGCCCCACAAAAGGGCACTAATATAGCACATCGACACGGTTTTGATCCTGGGGCCTTACAGTTACGAGGCCATTGCTTGTCACTGAACCATGACTGTACGCAGCGGGGGCCTAGGGTAGGGGGCAGTTTCCATAAATAAAAAAAAAAACACAGAAAATGCAATAATTTCAATAATTTTTTGCATTTTACCCGGTTCTCAACATAAAAAAAATCTTCTGTGTGCCCATGCCTTGAGCCATAATGCATGGCCTTCCAGAGTATTTTTTATGTTGGGGACCGGGTTAAAATGCAATAAATTATTGAAAATTTATTGCATTTTCTGTGTTTTTTTTTTATTTATGGAAACTGCCCCCTACCCTAGGCCCCCGCTGCGTACAGTCATGGTTCAGTGACAAAACAATGACCTCGTAACTGTGAGACCCCATGATCAAAACCGTGTCGATGTGCTATATTAGTGCCCTTTTGTGAGGCATTAATCCTCATTACTGTCATTTATGACTTGAGGGCGTCTAGGTCCCCTAGTTAATAAGCATAGTAGCATACACATGCTTTAGCAGTCCCACAAAACACACATTGGCAAATTATTATTCAATAAAATCTGAGAATGTATACTATTATCTAGATCTATTATTTTTTAATAATTTTTAAAATAATTCCATAAATTGGGGTAAAATCAAAATATTCCACCTTTATGAGCGACAGTGTAATAATAAAATTCCGCTTTTATATAGCGCTTAATACATACTTTCTCTAAGCGCTTTACAAATATATCATTAATCCGGTCATCGGATTCAGGCTTGCCCGCACACAATCTATGCACATTCTTCACTCCCTGCGGAGCATTCCAGCCAGGCGTTATTTTACAGACGCTCTCAATGCTGAGCAAACTACTTTAATTTTCGCATCCTACCGGGTACCAATTTAACTGCTGGTGGAGAGTGGTTAATGTAGATTAACGTCTTGCCAAAGGACGTTATTGCCGGGCTGGGATTTGAATCCCGTACCTTGTGATCTGCAGTCGGATGACTTATCCACTAGACCATACCACTTTTACTTTTTCTCTAGTGAATGACCTACAACACTTTCCGATAAGTTAAACAGTCACCATCTTGGAGGCCATCTTAGATTCCTGAATGAGAAATAAAACTGATGACATTATTTTGATGAGAATTAAAGATCAACGTGAATTCAAGAGTAAAAAAGGGTGAAACAATGAAAAAACGTACTTTTCAAAACGGTGCGTCCTGTCACCGTTTTACTTTATTTTTTCATTTATTTATTCAAATCACATGTCTACCGAGTTTACCCTGTTTAGCTAAGAATTAAATAATGTTGTTTCTTCTTTTCATCAATTAGTTGGAACTTTTGTCAGATTCTATTTATTTTCACATATTTTGCTACGGATCTGTTTGAAAATATCGTGAAGAACTAATGTGACAGGTAATCAAAACATCAGTACAAATTAATGGTTTCACTCGCGCATCCGGAATGATTAACATTTATAAATATATTGTCAATTAATATTGCAGTATTGGCTGCTACACGAGCTTGAAATGTTATCAAATTATGTAGACCAAATGAAGAATTTAGATTAGGAAATGTATTAGCACTGCTATTAATTGCAGCCAAGTTATACAATTTCAAAAGATCTGTGTTAGATCCACGGTAATTTTTTAACCAGAAAGTGCCCCTTTTGTTGCCTCACTTTGAAAGACGCTCCCTCACCATTGGGACTACTATTTAATGAAGGTGCACGGGGTATCTACAAGGGAGGTCCAGTTGGGCCCTAATTCTACAGAAATTTTACCGTTTTATTAAGTATGGAACGGTAATGAGTTGGAGTGAGAATTTCATACTAATGTGTTTGTGCGCTGGAAAGAGTATTGGTTGGGGTGAAGTGGTCTTGCGGTGTCTGAGGTGGAGCAGTACAATTCTTTTTTTTTTTTTTTTTTTTAATATTTGTGTGTTTATTAATTTTTCAATCATATACAAATTACATATTTATAAGTCATTGGTAATACTTAGACAAACAAACACAAAACCAATATATATAAGAACAAATAACAATAATGAAAGGACAAGAAAGTTATACAAAACCATTACAGTAAAAAATACCTTGAATTTACCCAAAACATCCATCACTGGCGCACACGAGCATGGTCTTTTAAAGTAGTTTTAATTGTTTAAGTTGTGTATGCGCCCCTGAAAGATACTTTGTATACACTGTATACGAGCTGTTCAATTCAGTATTACAATATAGCTTGTTTGGTATTATATTCCATCAAATTCTTTGCAAGATTGTCATGGTCCTTATCATTATTCCATATACATTTTCTGTAGGTAGCAGGTAGTGTCATTCAAGCTTTGGGTTAGATATGTCAAAACTTGTAATGACTCGTTGCACTAAAACCCATAACATATAGGAACAGACAGTGAAAAATTAATAATATACATGATATGGAGTAGCAAGTTTGTATTGAAACAGCCCATGCGATTCAAATTAACACATAATGTAGTAAATAAGCGAATTAAATTGAAAAAATTATTACATATTTACTGTATAATACTTGTGTGTTCATGTGCTTGGAAAGGCTTGTGGGTTGGTGGGTAGGATAAATGTAGATGGTTTCAATTGGAAGCAGCACAATCCAGTACATGTATTTCGCATATCTTACATTTTGTTTTAAGGATGTCATGGTTTTATGACATTTTTTCCTGTAGGTAGCAAGTAGAGCACCTCACGATTCAAGTAAGATAATAAACAATATTAATGACATCTAACTCAGAAATTAAAGCTCAATATTTGAATTGGACCCAAAACAGTAAGTAATGAAATGATGAAACATCATTGTATTGAAACAGCTCATTATATTCAAATTCAAAATTAAGACTTAATTTGGTAAGTGACTAGTTTGGAATGTCTTTCTTTCATTAACCGTCAATCGTTTAGGGTAAACCACGTTTTTGAAGTACACTCGATACCGCATCCATAATGTGCACAACTACTAACACATGGTAAACCTACAATAGTTACATATATATATATATATATATAGCGCTGATAGATGTATCTGGACGTAACACCCAATTTCCGCGTGCCCATTCTAAGAATTCAGACTTGTATTGTGAATATACATACTGATGTTAATAATGTTATGGCTGTGTCGGTTGAATAATTGCCATGAGTATGATTAGGAATATATTACAATTCACATATTTTACATTACACTTCAATAATTCAAATATCGCCGTGTTATGACAAAAAATGAAATATGTAAAAATTTCTGGAAAAAAAAAAACGTGAATAATTGTTGTGAGCATGATAAGGAATACATTAACATTTACATTTACATCTTACTCAATTTGTTAAGTCAACCAGCTTTATACATTTACGGATTCATTAGGGGGAGGCGAGAGGGAGGGGGCATAGGGTTGAAAACAAATTGTAAGTTCCATAATATTCTCTACAATTTGATGAGTATGATTTGGTTCCTTTTTGTTATCAAAATTACGTTAATTGACCAGTGGACACTTTTGGCAAATTAGAGAGTTATAACGCCAATCTTGGAGACATCTCTCGCCTGTAGAATCGCTAGATGTGTTTGCTAGACTTATACCACCAGGCGAGATTTGTCTTACAGACAGGGTTTCACGCAGAGACACCTCGTCGTGACACCGGCTGATTTCGAATGCCAGCATTGCGTACAACCACTTGTGATAATATTTATACGTATACAAACAAATTTGCAGCACACTTTCTAAAACACAGCGTTTGGTAAATGGGACGAAACCATTTGTTAATAAGACGGGTTGTTTTACCTACATTACAAACATTACATTTTATTGAGTGACGGTACATGTTTTTCACACAAATTAGGCAGA